ATATATAATTGTTTTGTAAAGATAAAAAAAAATGTTGGTTGTTTTAATTAATTTCTTAATAGTAAGAAAAATTAATTATAATCCTTATCTGAAGTAATTCCATAAATCTGATCACAAGCCAAATGTTTAGTCTTTGTAAAAAAGTCTTCAACTTCTTTGTTAAATATCTCCTCAAACGATTGCCCATCAGATACAGTGAATAAGGAAATAAATTTATTAAATATTATTTCAGCCTTGCGTCGAATTTTGGTTGACTTTTCATTATGTAAAATAGTTTCCTCTTCGTTAAGATTCCATTCTTTGGCATTACCAGTATACCTTGTCACTTGTTTAATTGTTTCCACAATTTCTTGATGTTTTTTTAACATTAAGGCATTAATTTTCAGTTCAACAATGTTCTCCAATAATTCTAATGCTACTTCATAATCAGCACGATCAGTTCTTAAAGCCATACGTAATTTATGAATATAATCTAGCAGATCAACTTCAGTATGTAATAAATCAATTTTAGATATTTTTTTGGGACCAGCTTTTACCCAACCAGTTTCTATATTTGACAAAGCACCAACCATGATATCTTTTATTACCACTGGAAGTTCATCATTTTCAGAGACTTCATTATTTATTTCCTCTAATTCTTTGTCTTCTGGTATAAGGTTTATATGTGGTATTGATGATGCTGAAGCATTACTTCTAGATGGCTTTTTCGCTTCTGAATTTGCATCTAAAAAAATAAAATTTTAGTAATACAAAATAAATCACTAAGAAAAACAATTGTATATGATATATTTAATTAGAAAACTGTTAAAAAATGATGAAGACAAAGCACACCGTTAATCAAAATGACCCTAGTTCAAAATTCAACAAAAATAAATAGTAACAAAATTTGAAATACTTAAATACTAAAATAAAAATTGCAAGTTAAATTAGCTAAGATCAGATATACTTTGAAAATAAAACCACTTAATCTTTTCTATTAATATCATAATGATGGAAATTATCACCACCTACATATAAACAATATTACACTTAATAAATAAAGAATTAATTAAAACATTACCTTTTGTTTTAAAACTTTGTTCTGATGAATCTGTTTCATTGTTGCTAGTATTATGCTTTTCTGAATTTTTGGAATTTTCTTTGCTTAATCTTGAACGTTTTGGCGTCTCTGATTCATTTTCATAATCAGAATATTTTTTTGGTTTGATTTTACGACCAGAGCGTGATACATGTCCTACATTTACACTGTTGGTAGAAGAGATTTCACTGCTTGATGTGGGACTATTTTTTATTTTTGAAACGGATTTCACTGATTTACTGGAATCCAATAATACATCACTAGTTTCAAGAACAGACTCATTTGTATTAGGAGTTTCGGATGGTTTATCTGTTTCAGTAACTTTTTCTTCGGCACTAACACTTTTATCAACTTTCTGCTCCAATTTCTGAAAACCATAATATTAACATTTAAATTATATAAGCATTAGGTAGGTACTTCTTATTTATCATGTCATTTAAAAAATATTAATTTATAATAATACATTTATTTTTAAAAATTGTGYAGAGTAGCCAAAGTAGGTACTTATATTGTGAGTAAAATATCTATTTTAAAAAAAACCATTTTTTTACACGGTTTGAATGTTTTGTAACAAGAATTTATAGCCAATTGCTCATACTATTCAGCAACTGCTTTGTAATTCATTTATATAATTTGTCCTTAAACAAGCATGATTAAGTCTTGATCGATCAGTAGATAATTAAATTGGAAAAGAAGACAATGTTTTAAGTGTTTTGCTAACAAATNCCATGAAAAAAATTAATATTTTCATCAATAAAAATACTTTTTAAACAATGAGTGTCCTACGTTTAATAGTAAAAATATATATTTCTGCGACGACCATGGTAAGTAGGCACTGTGCATTTCGTACAAGATTTTCAAAGAAGAAATATGAATTTTTCGACCATTACAAATACAACAATCGAAAGTTAGATAGATTTAACACAGATAATTAAGAATCTTTAATTAAGTACAGAATAAAATATGTAAACTACATGTGCGATTTCTAACGAAATATGAGGACGTAATACCCACCTGTGTTGTCTCCATCTTATAAGTGCGTAATATTTATTTATTTTTTTTTTTATATGATGTTTACTAAATGGCACAATAAGTAAATATGAAACAAGAATAGAGCAATAGACTATAGACCTATTATATAAGGTATTAAACATATAAATTATTGAATTGGAAAGCAGCCACCTATTAGTGACACTTTCGTTAGATAGTATATTATAATATATATTTATTTTTAATTTTTATAATATGTTTTAGTTGCCAAAGAGATCACGGCACCATTTACGTTTTAACCTTCTTAGAGGGTTATCGGGAATTGTTGGAGTGCAAAGAGAGATTTCTAGCAAGCGGAATGGAGAGAGATAGTAAGCGAATGTGAAAATGTTTGTTTTATACTTTTGCTTCATCGTACAATAGTAACATTTTAAGATCTGAAAGAGATCATTTTAAGATCTGTTAAAATTAGTCTCTTTTGCGTTTCCCTAGCTACAGTTACAGACCATATAATATGTCCACTTAGGTTTAACTGGCTTAAGTAAGGATTTATAAATAAGGAGTTTAGTACTAGAGTGTCTAGGGTGTGTATATTTGCATGTTATTATAAATGAGGTTTTTTGATARTCACAAACGTTGATTTAAGTTTACTTTTTGGATTTGATATGCTGGGCCCAGGTCAACCTTTTATCGGGGGTAAATCAAGATATTTAGTATTCAGGGTACTTGGAATTTGAATCC